ATATATATATATATATATATATATATATATATATATATATATATATATATATATATATATAAAATGCAAATCCTACTCGTTTTACAGTAAAATATTGTTTCTATTTATTACAGCAAAACACTGGCTATTTTAGAGTTATTTAACGCATAATCTACAACAAGGGTTAACAGTACAAGCTAAATTACTACAATAGAGAAGACATTTAACAATCTAAGCCCACCTCCACCCCCTTCCTTTTAGAAGGACATCTATTTTTCAGTCATTCATTCATTCATCCATCCATTCAGGAAACACCTAACTAGACCAAAAGTTTCCAGTCATTGCTGAGATGTGTGATTTCTATTTTTCTTCACATGCTGCACTTTAGTCTGTAAAGGACAAAGACAGAACTAACATCCTTGCTGAACTCTAGCAATGCACAAGATGTTCTCTAGTGTCCTTCAGTTAAATCTCAACAGATACTTCGGTAAGTTTCCTTCTTCGGCATGTTGTGTGTCCATTACTTGTAAAAAAAAAAAGAAAAAAAAAGAAAAAGAAAAAAAACACCAGCCACAGACAAGACATCTAGCTAACTATCTAAGCCCACCTCCACCCCCTTCCTCTTGGAAGGACATCTATTTTGCATTAATTAATTAATTCATTCGTCCATTCAGGAAACACCTAAGCAGACCATCAGTTTGCAGTCATTGCTGAGGTGTGATTCCCATTCCTCCACATGCCCCAGTCTAATCTGCAAAAGACAAAAACAAGACTAACAAAGCTCGACTTGCTGGTTGATCTCCAGCAATAAACAAAGTGTTCTCCAGTCTTCTTCAGATAAATCTCCACTGATCCTCTTGTGAGTTTTCTTTTTTGCATGTTGTGTGTCCATTACCTGAAAAAGAAACACCTGGTGCAGGCAAGACATCTGTCTAATCTAAAGCCGGGCTCAGACTACCAAAGTTTAGCCCAATTAATTTTTTAATGGGAGATTAAATCTTGTTGAGGACTTCGGTCAGTTCTGATTCTTAGAGCAGATTATCTGGTTATGTGAGCCAATCTTGAACACAAATCGGAGCCTCACCAGTCATAGCAAACATGTTCGAAATCCAGGATTTTAAATCGGCTTATCACAGCTATACAGTATTAACAAAGCCATGAGCTGGGGAGAATCATGTTGCTTTCAATCAGAGCCGGCCCAAAGCATAAGCGAACTAAGCGGCTGCTTAGGGCCCCGTGGCCACCAGGGGGCCCCAAGAGTACTTGAAATTATTGTGTGACTTTCGTTTTAGTTTAGGTTGTGGATTAGTGGTGGGACAAAATATATGCCCATTTATAGTGTTATTTCTGACCGCGATAGATACTCAGGCGCCAAGATATTTACCTAAATTTACAAAAGATCTGATTTAATTAATCAGTTTTCAACACCAACTGCAGCAGATAACCGCTTTAGCTACAGTACACCCAGCTGCCACCAGGTGGCGCTTCCTGTAATGGCGGATCATTAGACATACACCAGCGTCATGTAAACCACTGAGTCTATGAGCCATTGCATTAAAGACACGCCTTTACTTCGCTATATCGCTCGCGCGTGCCCGCGGCCAGTGCAACTTTTTATGTGTGCTCAAACTTTTTAACTACGCCAAAATATATAAAGATATCAATAGGACATTAACATTTAATTAGAAGGGCCTTGCGTTTATTTGACTCTTACAGACCTTGTCAAAATCTTGTAGAAGGTATCTTGGCAAAAAAATATTAGTGGAATTAAAAAACTTAAATAGATGAGTAAATAACTGATGTTCTCCACTGCTGAATACGTACGTGTTCAGAGGAGTCTGTGCTCACCTCTCAGAGCATTCTTATCAGTTGAAAAAATAGTGGGGATACTTATTTTTTTATTACAAATAAACCAGGGCTAAGCATAAAATGTTTCCATGTTTAAATAAAATTAGTTGGTCAAGTTGTAGTAAGTGTTTTAAATTTAAAGAATATTAGAAAGCAATAAATTACTAATTTGGCTGTTTTTTTTTTCTTAAATGCATATTCCACTAAATTGAGATTTTGCTAGTGTTATAGAGATGTGCTCTCTTCAGTCATAAACTTCTCTCTGCACATCAGTATTTTAAGCTTGTTTGACAGATGTGCACTTGTTTTACATTGTTGCAATTCTATAAATGCGTGTTTATAAAAGAAATTCATCATAAATTTTTTATGCATTTTCCCCCTTCATTTACCAAAATTGTGATATATTGTGGCTGGTTTTCTTGTGATCTATCAATATATCGCAGAATCATTGATATCGTGATTGAAGAGGCAGTGCCCGGAACAGCAGCAAAATGCTTTTTTATGAACTTGGTTATTTAAAAAATAAGCTTCTGATTTATACAATTAACAGTTGGTAAATACACTGCAAAAATTATTTTCTTTCTTACAGTTTTTGTGTGATTTTTAGTCCAAATATCAAAAAATTCTTAAACCAATAAACATTTTCTAGAAAGATTTTTAGTCAAAATAATGTGAATTTTTCATTAAAAAAGCCCAATAATCTGCCAATTAGGGTAAATAAAAAAGATTGTGTTAGGTTTTAAATAAGATTATTTTACTTATCTCATTGGCAGATTAATTTGTTGTACAAAAAAATTCACTTAATTTAGAATTATTTCTGAAAACTGAAAATTTTTTGTACATATTTATTAATTTAATTGATATGTGAGTATGTCTAAAATAATGCTTCCTGATTTAGTTTGATTTTAATTTAAATAGATGTTTTAAGTTATTTGAACTACAAAATACAATATGATTTTTTTCAGTATTAACATTTATATCCAATTTTTTAAAAATTATCTTTATTGTCACTATGTTTGACTGTTTGGCAGTGTCTTGTGCCTGAATGATAATAAAACTAAGTATGTTATTGGCTACTTCCAGCTGCTTTTGTTTCTGCCAGCCCATATTAATGTTTTGTGTCTAATTATTTAGATTTGTGGCAAGTAGTCATATAAAAAGTTGGATCAATAGGAAGTTGTTTCTGCAGAATAATATTTAGAATTGTCTTAAAACATATATTTTATGATGTAAGCAACACAGCTACAGCGAATAAAATCGATAATGTGTGTTTTAAATTTAAAGTGTGCGAATTATCAAGGATTGACGATAATTTGTCATATTGTTTGCACCAAAGGGGCCCCAAATAAAATCTTGCTTAGGGCCCCCTGAAGGCTTGGGCCGGCCCTGCTTTCAATAAATAAACAAATCTATAATTTTTTAAATAAGCTTAAACTATCCTTTATTTTCAGCCAGATTTAATGTTATTCTTATACCGGTGTGCAGATATTTATGATACACATGTAGCTGGGTACTAAAACTTTGCCAGTTATCTCCATAATCCCGAATGATTAAACATATTAAACTGTTTTTAAAAATGTATTATATCAAGGGTGTAACGATACACTCAGCTCACAATACAATGTGTATCATGATATAATGTTCACGATTCGATATGTATCACGATATTTGGAATAAAAATTGAAAATTAAACTGAAATGCAAATTTTACCAAGTAAACTATTTTTTATGTATTTCTTTTGTTTTAACTTGTTAAACTGAACCTTCTTTAAGAAAATAAATTAAACAGGCCTGTCTCTGGAAAATAAAACAATTAAAAAACTTCTTAAAAATATTATTAAAATGACAGAGACAAAATTAAGGAACAATTTACTGTAAGTAAAGGTGCAAAAAAAATAAGCTTTCTATTCAATTGAATTTAACAGTAAGAGCTAAGGCTTTGCTTGGTCACTTGCGTTTTTTGTGTGTGCAAAAAAAAAAAAAAATCCACATTTCCAGGTATTTAATTCATATTTAATTAAAT